GTTGAGGGTCAGAGAAAAAGAGGAAGACCCCCAACAAGATGGACTGGCCAAGTAGCAGCATTGATGGATTCAAGTGTGGCAACAATAGTGAGGTTGGCCCAGATTCGGGCAGTGTTTCCTTCTGCTGTGCATAAGGTCGCTATAAGTCGATACCGACTAGATGACACCTAACAACAACAGCTAACTTGTGTAAAAGACAAAACCAGATAATGTTTTAATCTTCTTGTTGTTAGCAGCTCTACGGAAGAAAGGGCTGGAGAACTGCTTCCTTAAAAATTACAGCCAAAAATAAGCCCTATGGAGCAGTTCTACTCTAACACATGGGGTTTCCATAAGTTTTACTCTTAAAAGATAATATTCTTTGAACTTTATTTTTACTAAGGCCCAACTGTCCAGTGTTCTCTTTTATTTTATAACTTGGACACTAAAATGTACTCATACTCACACTCTAAGCTGTGAAGCAGTTTTATGCATGTTTGGTAGAGGGGGAGAGGGGCTTAGATAACAAAATTCCACTTTTATTTAAGTCTTTATGTAAAGAGAATCACACTATGTTTAGTTGGACAGGTCAATTGGAATTCACCACACATAAAACTTCCCAGAAAATTAAGTGAAAAAGCTTATGCTACATATTTTTCAATGTTTACTTCCATTTCCAAAAAAATAAAATAAAAACCCTGAAGCTAGTTTTTCCTCTAGCTCATTACTGTATACTACTAATTGTAAAAACTTCTAGTTTCAAACAGGTTGTTCCTCATATTATAATAAATCAATGGTTTACGTTTCAGAATCAGGGAAATTACATTGACTTTAAAAGAAAATCTTTTGTTAAAAGAGTTTAGATAGCACTACAATGGCTGATATGGCACTGTGGGTTAATGAGCTGGACTGCAAAGTTGGTTTGAACCATAAGGTCATCAATTCAAGCGCACCAGCCATTCCTCGGAAACCCTATATAGGATCGCTATGGGTCGGAACCAACTCGATGGCACTTAACAACAGCTGATAAGGAACTGGTAAAGTAGTGGTTAAGAATCAGGCTTCTAACATCAAAGTCAGCATTTCAAAACTACCACCTGTTCTGCAGGAGAAAGATGAGGCTTTCTGACTTCCGTAAAGATGCACAGCCTCAGAAACCCTATACAGAGTCACTATGAGTAGGAACCAACTCCACAGTACACCACCAACATAAACAATAGCTGATAAGGAACCCTGATGACCTAGTAGGCTATCAACCACAAGGTCAGCAGTTCAAATCTACCAGTTGCTCCTCAGTAGCAAGATGGGGCTTTCTGTTCCAGCCTCAGAAAACCCTAAATTATGAGTCACACCACTATCACCACAATAGTTGATATTGTTGTAATATGCAGAGAAATGGCATATTTGGTGAGACCTAAGAAATTAACACAATAGTAACCATAATAATTCCTAGTAGTTCCAACAAACTAGCTCATTCCAATCACTAAAATTAGTCTCAACGCTTTTACATTTACAGCACTGCTATCAGGGAAAGAAATGGAGTTTAGCAAAGGCAAGGGGCAAGAGACGTCCGTTCATGTGCTCCTAGAAGCTGAAACATTTTCAGCAGTTTTGTGGGTCCTAAAACAGCTCCTGGGTTTCACAATCATAACAGAGGATATGGACCAAAGGCAGTCAGTGGTGCCTGTTGGTATATACACACAGAAAGCACGTGTGGATACATGCACACCATTTTCAGTCTGTGAGGGAGGAAAGCAAATTGTTCAAACAACTTGTTTAAAAGGTCTTCAAATCAAAGGAAGAATTCTTGAAAACTAAACAACATATTAATGGGCTCATTTAACAAACTTCCATTGTTTACCTTTTCCTCCCCAGTCCCGTTAAATGGAAGTGGGGAGGGAGGTGTCTAAGACTTTCTTAAGCCACTCACATCTCAGTCTGATACACACTATAACAAAACAAAACAAAACAGTAATAAGCATGATGTGGGAAGTATCTAATGACTAAACCCACTGCTGCTGAATGGATTCCTACTCATAGTGACCCTGAACGACCGACCGAACAGAACTGCCCTTTAGGGTCTCCAAAGCAGTGAAGCTTTATCCCGCAGAGCTGTTAGAGGGTTCCAACAGCAGACCTTTGGGTTAGCAGCTGGGCTCCTGATTTAATGACAAATTAAAATCCAAATTTCCTCTTAAACGTGAAGCCTGTACAGGTGACCTCAGCCCTTTGCTCCTTGAATAAAGTCTTCAGCAATGGATTTTAGAATACAGCGACTTTGAGGCCTGGCCCGCAATACATCTCTGAGAGCTAATGACAAGTTTCAAAGCAAATTAGATCTTGG